CTAGCGACCGATTCACTACAACGTTTGAGTGAGTGAGTATGGCTTTACACCGCTTTGAGCGACGTTCTAGCACGGCGGGGATAAAGAAAATGGGCTTCACACATTGTACCCTTGTTTGGATTCGAGCCCGGACCAACGGCGTTACCGGCGATGCTCTAACCACCAGGCTACCCAAAAGCCCGCAGTGGTACCCAGAACTACCCTACACAAACATTACAAGTGATTATGATCATAATTATTACGAACAGGTTATTGGCTGGCCAAATGGGGAAAATACTTCTTGTATATATTTACCTATATACAGTACCAACTTCTTGACGACCACCGTACATCGGCAAATAATCACAGTAACTGGCAAATATTTATAACCAACGAAACACGTGACTCTAGTCCCGTGAAGATTCCGGGTTACCTTTGTGCTGTGATCCGACCCGACAGGTAAAGTAGGCAAATGTTATGAATAACAACGTCTTTAAAACTATACCGTCTGAGTGAGTTAGCAAAATTCCAGCGCGGCACACCATTAACATGCTTCACACATTGTACCCATGTGGGGAATCGAATCCGGACCAATCTACACAATTGGGTTTGATTTTGTTTGTTTGTTGTTTAACGCCGCACTCGGCAATATTCCAGCCATATGACGGCGATCTGTAAATAATCGAGTCTGGACCAGACAATCCAGTGATTGACACCATGAGCATCGATCCACGCAATTGGGATACGATGACATGCATCAACGAAGTCAGCGAGTCTGACCACGCGATCCCTTTAGTCGCCTCTTACGACAAGCAAAGTCGCCTTTTACGGCAAGCATGGATTGCTGAAGACCTTTTCTACCCCGCATCATCACAGGTCCTACACAATTGGGATATTATGATTAAGAAGGTGTATCATAAGCCTAAGCTTTGTCTATCTTGTCATCCGTCAACTTCTTTATATAAAGTAATGCCTATCAAACAATACTCTTTGTTGTCTAACATTAAGTATCTGAAATGAAACACATTAAGATTTTTTGTTTAGCTGTCTTCTCTTCACACTTGAAAGAAGACCAGAGAATTTCTTCATTCTCGAATTTTCGGGTAATCTTCCTTCCTTGTCAGCGGGTGGTCCGACTCTCTAGCTTCGTTGATGAAAGTCATCGTATAACAATTGCGTGGAGCTATGTTTGGCCCTCACTCTATGAGGTGAGGTGAAATTGAGTTTTAACGTCGCGTCTAAGATTATTGCACTTATATAGCGACGTGCATGCACGTGTGTGTGTGGCTGCTTGTACTAGTCCGGACTGATGCCGATTTATAGTGCTAGCACACTGAGATACCATGCCGCAGTTTAACATAAATACCCCACTCGGACACAGTATACTGACTCCGAGCCGACCAGTCCTTGTTTTAGCCCCTTAATGCCGAGCGCCAGACTGGGTAACAACAAGTACCATCTTTTAACGTCTTTTGGTATGACGTGGCTGGGGATCGAACCCCGGAACGTTCCGCTTTCCGGACGGACGCTCTACCATTAGACCACGGAGGCGGTTTTTCAGGAGAGTATTGAGACAGATGGCCCGTTCTGTGCTTCTCCGACACTTCTCCGGTACGTACGACCTCCTGCACACCCACGTGACATTGTTCCTTCACAACACACGAGCTTGTCCATACCAGCCAGAACTGGATCATTGCGGGTCTGTGCCAGACTCTGTACCCTAAACCACGTGACTGTTGACCTCATCTCCCAGACTGCGCGTGGGATGGCAATGTTTACCTACTATGTACAGAAGAAACGTAGCATCACAGGCTTGCAAGGGTGTTGACACAATTGGGCACGTTTCAGTCAGATTGTATGCTGTTGTCTTAAGCTTGCTCATGATAGCTGTAACCTCAGCTTCGTTCAGCCGCCACCTGCCTGGACCATACGGTCGGGTGAGTGAGGGAGGGAGGCAGGGAAACTGACTTGGTTTCTGGGATGGCCATGGCCATATCAGGATTAATCTTGGTTTACTGGGTCACCTCATGCTAAACTGTCATGGTTCGTATCTAGAGGATCATGTCTTAAGGGTGCCACACTCACAAGTAGTGCTGCTGAAACACCGCGGCCTGTATAGAACCGAGTCTGAGTCAGACAATCCAGTGATTGGAATAATGAGCAACGTCCCCCGCCGTCTGATTTATTCCGGTTCTATAGAGCTAGCCCACTGAGAAGTGAGATACCATGGGTACCCATCTCAGGCACAGTGTACTGTTTCTGAGTCAGCCAGTCTTTGTTTTTTATAGTGCTAGCCCACTGAGATACCATGGGTACCCCTCTTAGACAAAGTGTACTGCCTCTGAATCTGCCAGTCTTTGATTCATAGTGCTAGCCCTGAGATACCATGCCGCAGTCTAACATGGAAACCCCTCTCAGACAAAGTGTACTGCCTCCGAATCTGCCAGTCTTTGATTCATAGTGCTAGCCCACTGAGATACCATGCTGCAGTCTAACATGGAATCCCCTCTCAGACAAAGTGTACTGCCTCCGAATCTGCCAGTCTTTGATTCATAGTGCTAGCCCACTGAGATACCATGCCGCAGTCTAACATGGAAACCCCTCTCAGACACAGTGTACTGCCTCCGAATCTGCCAGTCTTTGATTCATAGTGCTAGCCCACTGAGATACCATGCCGCAGTCTTACATGGAAACCCCTCTCAGACACAGTATTCCAGCTGTCTGTCCTGTCTGAATTAAGACTGGCAAACCAGTGACTGAAGGCATGATCAAACAATCTAAGCGACCAGGCACAATGGCGCCAATATAGCCAAGGCACAATCTGAGCACTGATTCATATTCGCTGTGTACAGTAGGGTTATATAGCTAGGTATCAATAGGAATCACATGCTTCATGGCCCAGTCATTGAAGGCACCGCGATTCACTGTGCAGAGTTGTGTCCCTTGGGCACGCCAGAAACCTATGATTGTGGGTTCGAATCCCAGTTCTCCCCGATTATGTTTCTAGGTTTGTCAGCACCATACCCGTGCTCGTGGGTTTCACCGTAGTGGTAAACGTCTGAGACCTGCATCACTTCGGGCTTTCCTCCCACATTAAGCTGACATGCTGTGATAGAACTGGAATACTGTTAAAAGTGGAGTTAAACCCAACTCACTCACTCACTCTTAGGGACTACTAATTTTGAGAGGGTTTACATCATAAATGTTTTCTGGTTCCTGAATCATCTTCAGCGTCATAAATGGTAACAGCTTTACATGATACACCAATGAGCACCCACAAAGTGAAAGTCAATTCTTCTGGTTCTTTTTTATACAGCTATTTTTTACTTTGAAGGATGTAGATACATATCTATACACAATTTGATTTAGTACCTTGTGGGACTTCATGTCAGCCATACAACGACCGTCTGAATGGCGAAATAAAATACTCAAAGCTTGAATAATGATGAGTGTGGATTGTAAATGTAAATGTGTAAATTGTAAATGTAAATGAAACAAATAATCAAAACGATGAAATTATTAAATATGTATTGCTGTAACATTAGAAAGGCTGTATGAAAGACGTGAATTGACATAGTTGATAATAACAATTATAATAATCATTGTGGTTTTGACAAGGAGGTCCATCAATGGTACGACCTGAAGTATGTAGAGGGCGTCATGGAAAAAGAGTAAATACAAATTTCTTTGGAATAGGCCTGGAAACAGCCTCAGACGTATCCAGGCCAACAAACCTGCTGGGCTGCACAATATCAATCCATCACTGATTTACATACAATGGAGGTAGAACAGGTCTTCAGCAACCCATGCTTGCCATAAAAGGCGACTATTCTTGTCGTAAAAAAATCTCCGTGTACGAAATACGCTACAGTCGGAAAGCGCACGTTAAATCTTCTATATCAGTCAGTCAGTCGTAAAAGGCAACTAATGGCATGGGGGCGGATACAGAGGGGGGTGCGGACGTGCGCACCCCCTTTTTATTTGGAAAAAAATCTTTATTTCTGTATAAATTACCACCAAAGACAATAAACAGATCTTAATTGTGCACCCCCCCTTTTAAAAAAAGCTGTATCCGCCCATGAATGGGATCGAGTGGTCAGGCTCACAATGATACTTTGGTCTCATTATTAGTACCTCTGTATCAAACATTTATCACCATAATTTGTCTGCATCATTACATATTTTTTCAATACATAAGTTTTCTCAGTATAAAACGCTTGAACAGTATTTTGGCATCACACAATGCATAGTGCAACATTGCAATAGAAGGACGCTCATGTAACTTAGGAATCAGCTGATGTATGAATCAGATTACCCCACTCTTACAAATGAATTAAAGTAACCTCCCTTTGATGAATGAATCAATGTAATTTGTCAATGAATTAGAGTTTGCTCCCTTTCATGAAAAAATCAGAGTGATCTCCCTTTGAAGAAGAAAAAACAAGCTCCTCACAGTGATAGAACGTTCCCGGAGCTCTCTATACTATCGCTGCCACCAGTCAAAACTCCCCACTGTGAATAGGTGGCCACAACCATGCTTGGAGTTGAAGTCGCAACCGAATGACCGTTATGTTTACAAACAAGTGATGACTGTCGTGACGCCGAATACACTTATCGCTGCTAAATTACTTTCTTCGTTTTTCAATTTGAATTTCTGTTTCATTAAAACTATCATGTTATTGATATAGTAAGGGAGAAGTTGGTTGATTTTCCGTTAGTCTGCAATCTCGAACTAATCTGATTATCAAAACAACAAAGAATATTCATCTGGAAAACATGGTCAGTCGTAAACCTTTTCAAATTAAAATATGACGGCATTCCCAAAGGCATAAAAAGAAGTATAAACGTTACTACATATGGGGTTGGAGGGCAAATTTCAAGATTCTTGTAATGGCCGCGTGCACACTGGTGGCAGCGATGTTACTGAGAGTGTAACGAAGGTGTCACACGCTGGGAAGGAGCTTGAAGAAAACAGTGATGTCCCTATTGGATCAAAATGGAAGAGTTTGTTCTCTTGCATGTATATCAGAGTGATCTCCCTTTCATGAATGAAATGGAGTGACTTCCCCTTTTATCTTTTCTCAATTCTCAGCATCATTCCATCCAATGGCTTTGGTTCAAAGGAACTTGTCTCTGGAGGTATCTGTATGAAAGAAAGAAAAACACTAGAATAACAACCCTGTCAGCAGTTTTCTCTTCACAGCCACATCAAATCCTGGTTCTCACACAGGCAGACAAAGATGTGGGACGCAACTCCACACAGTGAACTGCTTCCTCATCCACTGGTGCCTGATCCCCTGCCTTACAAGGAGTGGGTCAGCAATATTCCAGCTACATCAGTGTAGCAGTCCTATGGTAGGATTGAACAGACAATGGATGTCTTGTCCACATGACTGAAGCAGGCAGACAAGGTAAGGATGTCACCTGTCAGATGAATCCATGCCCTATTCCCTCAACATCTATGTGACTGGTCCATTATGAACATGCTCAGCCCCAAGATGGGTGTCAATGTTGAGGCCATAAACTGTACGAGTCTCGTGATGAGATTCAAACCAAAACATTCTCCTCCAAGGTTGGACACTTTGTCTACATAACCACAAATCTATGGTATGACTCAGTCACAGAATTTCCAACATTTGTTCTGTCAGTCAGTATAAATGTAAAGATTAATTCAAATCTGGTGTCAAGGAGACTGCTACCTTTGTTTCCGGACCGGGGACAAAGCGATACTTCTGGAGAATTCCTGCAATGGCCATCTTGACAGTCAGGTGAGCAAACCTCATCCCGATGCAGTTCCGAGGACCAGCTCCAAACGGCAGGAACACATAGTTGTAATTCTCCGGTCGATTCTCTGGACGAAACCTACAAAATAATAATAAAAACAATAATAATAATAATAATAATAATGTGATGGGAAGGCATGGTTTCATTAATGTGGAGGCTCTTCATGATAGAATTGTTTTGTGCACTTTTGCACACATTGATTTGTCTGATGATCCCCTTGTGAAGCATGTCAAGACTCAATATGAAAACAAGGCATTCCAGAGTTTTCTAAAACGAGCCAAGGATGTGGGACATAATCTCAATGTCGGTGTTGATTTAGTTGATGGTTCTGTACTGCTGGATGGTACAGAAATGAGTGTCAACCAAGCAAAGTGCCATATCAAATCGTCCTTTTTCAAGGAGAGGCTTTCTCCACGACCACTGCATCGAGTTTATGTGCAGTGTGTTGAGAAGATCAGCAATCCTGCAGAGTCACTTGGATGAAGTTGTTTGGCCTGAAAAGTGATACAGAAGGCTTTCTGTTTGCTGCTCAGGACCAGTCACTTCCAACTCAAAACCATCAATGTGTGATATTTCATCAAAATGTGAATATGAAATGTAGATTATGTAATGAATTTAATGAGACTGTCCAAAACATTGTGAGTGGATGCCCAGCTTTGGCACAGACACAGTATCTTAAGCGACATGATGGGGTAGCTCGATCATTTTATTACCGTCTTCGCCATGCTTGTGGTTTTGACACAGAGGTCCATCCATGGTACGACCCGGAACATGTAGAGGGCATCATGGAAAATGATAAATACAAAAATCCTTAGGAATAGGCCTGTTTACAGCCTCAGACGTATCACCTAAACCCTCTTTGCTGCATTTTTTATTTTAATCTGTAAATAATAATAATATATTTAGACACATAATGAAAACAAGGCAAACCTCACAACTCTTCAAAAGGAGTTATTGAATGTTTGACCACTGCCAACTGATATGAACACGATGAACTATTTTACCTCTCTGGGTTGTAAGTCTCTGGATCAGGCCAGTTTTCAGGATCTTTGTGTATGGCACCAACAGGAAAGTGCACTTCAACTCCTTTCTTGAAGAGTACACCGTTAATCGTGATATCCTCTTCTGCCATTCTGGACATCCTGGAATAGCCAAGCATGTATGGTAAGATATCTGAAACATCTCTTGAGATTATATCACCAATCCTCAAATGAACAGTTACAACCCTAATCAGACTCGAATCACACCTTATCATGACATCCCACTCTGCTGCTTTTGAAATTCAACAGTGAGTGAGTGAGTGAGTGAGTGAGTGAGTGAGTGAGTGAGTGAGTGAGTGAGTATCGTCTTACACCACTTTTAGCAATATTCCAGCAATATCACGGCGGAGCTCACCAGTAATGGGCTTCACACATCGTACCCATGAGGGGAATCGAACCTGGGTCTTCAGCATGAAGAGCAAACACTTTAACCACTTGGCTACCCTGCTGCCCCTGATATCCGAGAAGTATCGAGTGTGTGGAGTAAGATAACAGAAGCATTTATTAATTACTTCTTTGTGAAAGACTGAGTGTTCTGAAGTTGGGAAAAATGTTATTTCCATTGCATGGAACATAAGACAGGATATTTCATGCAACAATAAGAAGGATTCAGATTAGGATTTTTATAATCATTTGCTTCAGTTTAATCACGTGAGTCGAAACATTCCACAAGTGATTGTGGGGCCAAGCTAACTTGTAAACATCTGAAGTTCGGTGTCACTGGTAACTGTGTATTTCTAAGTTGTTTGTTGTTTAACAGCGCACTCAGTTATATTCCAACAATTTTTACGGTGGTCTGTTAATAATCAAGTTTGGACCAGACAATCTGATGCGTGCGTGCGTGCGTGCGTGCGTGCGTGCGTGCGTGCGTGTACCGATGACTACCTTGTAGCTGGTGGGAAGATGCGCAGAGTTTCCAGGTAGGCACCATCCAGGTATTCCAACTTTGACATGCTCTCGTAATCTGGGGGCTGCTGCAAAATGGGATCAAAGTAACTTTAAAAAACGCACTTGGAAGCCATGTATAACATCGCATCCAAATTCTGTGAGTGCTAAACGGCGCTTTCATGCAAAAAATGCCTATATGTACTATATGTTACTCTGCATACTTGCAGTGATAAATGCAGAAAAGGATGAGTAATTTGCAAAGATGACATTTCAAATTAGGATCTTGAGATCAAATTAGAGACAGTGCAGCTGGGATCGTTCATGCTTCATCGACCTAGCAGTTCCAGAGGAAAAGTGGACAATGTAAAAGTTTCAGTCATGTCAAGGCATATCTCAGTCATGTGAACCCAAAAGAGAGAAGTAGTTAAGCACCATCGTCTGCTCCACCTGAGTAGAAGGCTGATTATGATTGCCTTTTGAACAAAGTTTCAGCTTTCTTTGCCTTGTGGTTCACATGAATAAGACTTTAAAACAAAATAACTAGCTACAAAATCACAATGATGACAACACAACAAAAATGGATCACACTGTCAGGCCCCACTGGGGCTTTAGGCTTGACTTACAAATATCAGATGATAGGTATGAGAGGTGACGTCAAAAATGCAGTAAAAGCTTGATGAAATGGTCCCTGTGAATTCGGATAAAAACTTCACTGGTTTTGAACACATAACAGGCACTACCATCATCGTAATGTGAAATTAAACCAAACTGTTAATTACCCCATTGAGAACGCGGTCAATCTCCTCTATCAGTCTGTCCTGGCAGTCCTGGTTGATTGCTAGGTTGTAGGCGAAATACGCCAAAGTCACGTTTGTAGTTTCATATCCAGCAAAAAGAAACAGCATGGCATTGCCCAGAATCTCATCGTTTGTCATGCCTTTGTGAAAAAGTAAAAATATTATCTTACATTTTGTTGCTCATTTTATAGTTCATAATTATGTAATAGAGTGATTGCGTGAATCTGCTTAATGCCACAGGAAGCCATTTGCAATCATCATGACAGCCTGTAAATAATTCAGGCTGGGTCTGGCAAACAAACTGCTGACTGCATGAGAGACAGTCCATGCTGACAGGGTGCTGAGACAGATGCCTTAAAGATGTCTCCACTACCTATACACAAAAGGACAGACTTCTGAAAGTCTACACCATCTATTTACCTTGGACAGACATCTGAAAGTCTACACTACCTATTCACCTAGGACAGACATCTGAAAGTCTACACTACCTATTCACCTAGGACAGACATCTGAAAGTCTACACTATCTATTCACCTTGGACAGACATCTGAAAGTCTAAACTAACTATATACCTGGGACAGACATCTGAAAGTCTCCACTAACTATTCACCTTGGACAGACATCTGAAAGTGTACACTATCCATTCACCTTGGACAGACATCTGAAAGTGTACACTATCTATTCACCTTTGACAGACATCTGAAAGTCTACACTACCTATTCACCTTTGACAGACATCTGAAAGTCTACACTATCCATTCACCTTTGACAGACATCTGAAAGTCTACACTACCTATTCACCTTGGACAGACATCTGAAAGTCTACACTACCTATTTACCTTTGACAGACATCTGAAAGTCTACACTACCTATACACAAAAGGACAGACTTCTGAAAGTCTACACCATCTATTTACCTTGGACAGACATCTGAAAGTCTACACTACCTATACACAAAAGGACAGACTTCTGAAAGTCTACACTATCCATTCACCTTGGACAGACATCTGAAAGTCTACACTACCTATTCACCTAGGACAGACATCTGAAAGTCTACACTATCCATTCACCTTTGACAGACATCTGAAAGTCTACACTACCTATTCACCTTGGACAGACATCTGAAAGTCTACACTACCTATTCACCTTTGACAGACATCTGAAAGTCTACACTATCTATTTACCTTTGACAGACATCTGAAAGTCTACACTACCTATTCACCTTTGACAGACATCTGAAAGTCTACACTATCTATTTACCTTGGACAGACTTCTGAAAGTCTACACTATCTATTTACCTTGGACAGACATCTGAAAGTCTACACTATCTATTCACCTTGGACAGACATCTGAAAGTCTACACTACCTATTCACCTTTGACAGACATCTGAAAGTCTACACTACCTATTCACCTAGGACAGACATCTGAAAGTCTACACTATCTATTCACCTTGGACAGACAACTGAAAGTCTAAACTAACTATATACCTGGGACAGACATCTGAAAGTCTCCACTAACTATTCACCTTGAACAGACATCTGAAAGTCTACACTACCTATACACCTGGGACAAACATCTGATAGTCTTCAATAGATATTTACCCTGGACAGACATCTGATAGTCGTCAATAGATATTTACCCTGGACAGACATCTGATAGTCGTCAATAGATATTCACCTATTAAAGATCAACTGAAACTCTTCCTGTGCTTGTCATAAAAGGCGAATAACTTATTCGGGTGGTCAGGCTCGCTGACTTTGTTGATGCATGTCATTGTATCCCAGTTGCAAGGATCGATGCTTATGACATCAATCACTGGATTGTCTTGTCCAGACTCGATTATTTACAGATCGCCATCATATAGCTGCAATATTGCTGAGTGCGGTGTTAAACAACAAACAAACATTTGAAACTCCTCCTTATATCTCCTCTGCATAGCTCACCTCTTCTCAATGACTTGTCCATCTCCACGTAGGAAGCAGAGTCCTTCTCCTCCTGTTTCACCTCCAGCTTGTGGGAGTTAAGCATGAGCTGCAGGAAGTCTCTCCGGCTCTGGTGGAGAGTGAGTGAGTGAGTGAGTGAGTGAGTGAGTGAGTGAGTGAGATGGAGGAGAGAGTGATATGGTTGAGAATGAATGAGTAAGTAAAAGTTATGTAGGAGATGAGAGACTGACATGTTAGAGAGTGAGTGAGTGAGTGGGTGAGTGAGGGAGTGCGTGTTATATATGAGATGAGTGACTGACATGTTGGAGCATGAGTGAGTGAGTGTTATGTAGGAGATGAGTGATATGGTTGAGAGTGAGTGAGTGAGTGTTATGTAGGAGATGAGTGATATGGTTGAGAGTGAGTGAGTGAGTGTTATGTAGGAGATGAGTGATATGGGTGAGAGAGAGTGAGTGAGTGTTATGTAGGAGATGAGTGATATGGTTGAGAGTGAGTGAGTGAGTGATATGGAGGTGAGAGCGATATGGTGGAGAGTGAGTGAGTGAGTGTTATGTAGGAAATGAGTGATATGGTTGAGTGTGAGTGAGTGAGTTATGTAGGAGATGAGTGATATGGTTGAGAGTGAGTGAGTGTTATGTAGGAGATGAGTGATATGGTTGAGAGTGTGTGAGTGAGTGTTATGTAGGAGATGAGTGATATGGTTGAGAGTGAGTGTTATATAGGAGATGAGTGATATGGTTGAGAGTGAGTGAGTGTTATGTAGGAGATGAGTGATATGGTTGAGAGTGAGTGAGTGTTATGTAGGAGATGAGTGATATGGTTGAGAGTGAGTGAGTGTTATGTAGGAGATGAGTGATATGGTTGAGAGTGAGTGAGTGTTATGTAGGAGATGAGTGACTGACATGTTGGAGCATGAGTGAGTGAGTGTTATGTAGGAGATGAGTGATATGGTTGGGAGTGAGTGAGTGAGTGTTATGTAGGAGATGAGTGATATGGGTGAGAGAGAGTGAGTGAGTGTTATGTAGGAGATGAGTGATATGGTTGAGAGTGAGTGAGTGAGTGATATGGAGGTGAGAGCGATATGGTGGAGAGTGAGTGAGTGAGTGTTATGTAGGAAATGAGTGATATGGTTGAGTGTGAGTGAGTGAGTTATGTAGGAGATGAGTGATATGGTTGAGAGTGAGTGAGTGTTATGTAGGAGATGAGTGATATGGTTGAGAGTGAGTGAGTGAGTGTTATGTAGGAGATGAGTGATATGGTTGAGAGTGAGTGAGTGAGTGTTATATAGGAGATGAGTGATATGGTTGAGAGTGAGTGAGTGTTATGTAGGAGATGAGTGATATGGTTGAGAGTGAGTGAGTGTTATGTAGGAGATGAGTGATATGGTTGAGAGTGAGTGAGTGAGTGTTATGTAGGAGATGAGTGATATGGTTGAGAGTGAGTGAGTGAGTGTTATGTAGGAGATGAGTGATATGGTTGAGAGTGAGTGAGTGTTATGTAGGAGATGAGTGATATGGTTGAGAGTGAGTGAGTGTTATGTAGGAGATGAGTGACTGACATGTTGGAGCATGAGTGAGTGAGTGTTATGTAGGAGATGAGTGATATGGTTGGGAGTGAGTGAGTGAGTGTTATGTAGGAGATGAGTGATATGGTTGAGAGTGAGTGAGTGTTATGTAGGAGATGAGTGATATGGTTGAGAGTGAGTGAGTGTTATGTAGGAGATGAGTGATATGGTTGAGAGTGAGTGAGTGTTATGTAGGAGATGAGTGATATGGTTGAGAGTGAGTGAGTGAGTGTTATGTAGGAGATGAGTGATATGGTGGAGAGTGAGTGAGTGAGTGTTATGTAGGAGACGAGTGATATGGTTGAGAGTGAGTGAGTGTTATGTAGGAGATGAGTGATATGGTTGAGAGTGAGTGAGTGTTATGTAGGAGATGAGTGATATGGTTGAGAGTGAGTGAGTGAGTGTTACGTAGGAGATGAGTGATATGGTTGAGAGTGAGTGAGTGAGTGTTATGTAGGAGATGAGTGATATGGTTGAGAGTGAGTGAGTGAGTGTTATGTAGGAGATGAGTGATATGGTTGAGAGTGAGTGAGTGTTATGTAGGAGATGAGTGACTGACATGTTGGAGCATGAGTGAGTGAGTGTTATGTAGGAGATGAGTGATATGGTTGGGAGTGAGTGAGTGAGTGTTATGTAGGAGATGAGTGATATGGTTGAGAGTGAGTGAGTGTTATGTAGGAGATGAGTGATATGGTTGAGAGTGAGTGAGTGTTATGTAGGAGATGAGTGATATGGTTGAGAGTGAGTGAGTGAGTGTTATGTAGGAGATGAGTGATATGGTGGAGAGTGAGTGAGTGAGTGTTATGTAGGAGACGAGTGATATGGTTGAGAGTGAGTGAGTGTTATGTAGGAGATGAGTGATATGGTGGAGAGTGAGTGAGTGTTATGTAGGAGATGAGTGATATGGTTGAGAGTGAGTGAGTGAGTGTTACGTAGGAGATGAGTGATATGGTTGAGAGTGAGTGAGTGAGTGTTATGTAGGAGATGAGTGATATGGTTGAGAGTGAGTGAGTGAGTGATATGGAGGTGAGAGCGATATGGTGGAGAGTGAGTGAGTGAGTGAGTGTTATGTAGGAGATGAGTGATATGGTTGAGAGTAAGTGAGTGAGTGTTATATGTAGGAGATGAGTGATATGGTTGAGAGTGAGTGAGTGAGTGTTATGTAGGAGATGAGTGATATGGTTGAGAGTGAGTGAGTGAGTGTTATGTAGGAGATGAGTGATATGGTTGAGAGTGAGTGAGTGAGTGTTATGTAGGAGATGAGTGATATGGTTGAGAGTGAGTGAGTGAGTGTTATGTAGGAGATGAGTGATATGGGGTTTTTGGGGTCCATTGTTTAATGCATCTATATGTAGGCTATCCATTGTTTCATGCATTTATATGTAGGCTATCCATTGTTTCATGCATCTATATGTAGGCTATCTATTGTTTCATGCATCTATATGTAGGCTATCCATTGTTTCATGCATCTATATGTAGGCTATCCATTGTTTCATGCATCTATGTGTAGGCTAGCAATGATTTCATGCATCTATATGTAGGCTATCCATTGTTTCATGCATCTATATGTAGGCCATCCATTGTTTCAAGCATCTATATTTAGGCTATCTATTGTTTCATGCATCTATATGTAGGCTATCCATTGTTTCATGCATCTAGATGTAGGCTATCCATTGTTTCATGCATCTATATGTAGGCTATCCATTGTTTCATGCATCTACATGTAGGCTATCCACTGTTTCATGCATCTATATGAAGGCTACCTATTGTTTCATGCATCTACATGTAGGCTATCTATTGTTTCATGCATCTATATGTAGGCTATCCATTGATCTATGTATTCATCTGCAAGCCTTTAGTGTGAAAGGGTTTGTTACCTAAGAGGTATCTAATGGAATTAAATACCTGATTTTGATCCTACTTTGACCAATCAGAATCCAGCATTCTTATGTGTCATGGTTAACTTATCTTTAACAAGTTTTTACAAATCAGTTTATTGTTTGAGGAATCAGTGCGTCATGAAAGTCTTACTCACAATGTTAAGTTCTCTTCTGTCTGATATGGTCTGAAGCACAGCCTTGGTGAAGAATTCTCGACAACCAGCATCAACCATCTTGAAACCAATAGCTTCCAACCATTTGCTCAGGAAGGGAAACAAAGCTGCAACAAGAAAGTTTTCCTACAACAGCGACAGGGTGTTGATGGAAGCACAGCATCTGTTGGTTTTACAGAAGTGACTGATCATTGGATTTATTTTGTCAAGGATGAACCCAGGGTTATCAAGGGATCACTGTTGACAGTTTTAGCCAGAAATCAATTTCTGGTTAAAACATGTCCTGTCCTACAGAGTCATCAAAAGAAGGCATACACCGCATCAGGAGGCTGGGATTTGGAATTAACATTATTTGTTCCTGACAATACATTTTTTCAGCAGGTAAAAAAAAATGACTGTTCACCAGACATGCTGGACATCCTAAAACAAGTGTATAATGATGTCCTTCCGACCTGCGGACACGCACAGAATACGAAAGGGTCTGTCCATTAGAGCAACACAAAATGACTCAAAAAGCCAAAGATGGTTGTACCGGGGTATTTGATGCTTGCTGTTACATCTGAAAGTCATTGGTCATGCTTCTGGGATTTATATGTATGGCAAGGGCCATATCCTTGGACAGTGCCTCAGATGTGTGATACAAACTTGTTGCAAGAAATATATCACACATGTGAAATTGACCAGGCCCTGGTCGAGACAGCTGCTGTATATAGTGGGGCCAAACCAGCCAATATTTGTTTTTGCTCGATATTTCACATATTTTTCAAATTGATCCTTTGATTGTTATTTGTTGGCATCTAAGCTAGACACAATGCTTCTCCTTGACAGTGAGTGAGTGAGTGAGTGAGTTGGGTTTAACGCCGCTTTTTACAGTATTCCAGTCATATCACGGCGTGTCAGCTTAATGTGGGAGGAAAGCCCAAAGTGATGCAGGTCTCAGATGTTTACCACTTAGGTGAAACCCACGAGCACGGGTATGGTGCTGACAAACCTAGAAACATAATCGGGGCGAACCGGGATTCGAACCCACAACCATAGGTTTCTGGCGTGCCCAAGGGACGCAACTCTACACAGCGAATCGCGGCGCCTTAGACGACTGGGCCACCCGTGGCCCCCTTCTCCTTGACAGAGACCATATGCATAGAAGTATATGAGCATGCGTGTCATACTGATTTTACACAACGAGTATCAGAGTTCTTAATTTCCTGAGCGAGACATTCTGAACTATTCCTACTTCTCTCCATGGAAATGCCTCAAAAACTAGAATGGTGTTTGCGTTACACACACTAAAAGAAGCAGCCCTATCTCCACACACAAAAATATTGGCCCCAGAAACTAGTATTACTTTCGGCTAAAGAAAACATGTCCTCTGTGCATGGCATCTTTAACAGAAGTCCCGATTTCAAACAAGCACATGCTCAATTATTTCTATTTGAAAACATGGGCATACGCTCATACAAACACGTTTTGGATCAGTACACAAAGATGCAGAACTAAATTCAGAATGATCATTCCAGTGACCTTGACCTTCAATGAAGGTCACTCAACCCTAACTATTTTTGGCCCAAGCCTAAGGATCATAAGTACCAACAATGACCAGTTCTTGAGTTATCTCAAACATATTATTTATTTTAGCATATGAACTTGAGAGTGAATTTGACCTTCAACATCTGTGACAAGTATTTCAAGAACATTTCAAAGTGCTAACCAAGAACCAAATCGAATGTCCCGAGGAGGAATTCAATGTAACAACAAAAATATGGCTCCTTATTGAAGGTCGGTCACTGTGACCTTTCATCACTTGTCATACATCTGTATTAGTGATGGCCAGCGATGGATATTTGCCGGACTTTCGTATTGCAATAACGACTCATGTATGTACCACAATATACTGCATGTGTGTGTAATTTGTTATGAACCTGAAAAAAAATAACCCAAATGACAAAATAAAGATATAATAATCAATTTTCTGATAATGTTTTCTTTCTTAAGTCCGACATCGGACTTCCCCAGGATGTTTTTGACAAATTTGTAGTCGTCCACCATCAAACATGATGTACAGGTAGCTACTTGCTAATAGTTTCGCTTGTTTCCGATCACAGATATCAGTGAATCTAATTTCAGAATTTCAGAATTTCAAGTCACATTAAGTCGCATACCCAATATACCGGTATTATTCAAATGTATTATGATACATGTTCATAATTATTCCAAATCGTGGTATACTGGTAATACTGCGCATCTCGAATTTGTTATCAAATAACATAAAAACTACATGTATAATATTTGCAAAAATCAGCATCTCAGTGATACATACAGATGAATGGCCTTCAATGTGACCTTGACCCTAAACGTAGGTCACTTACAACCTTTCCGCATCTCGACCTCAAGGAATGCTGGGACTAAGTGTTATTGACTTTCAGCTAATCCTTCTCTCCGGAAAACAAACATTTTTGGTCCGGACCTTTGACGTGACATATCAATTTGTCACAAATATTTCCAAGGGATATTATTAGAGATTTCCCTGATATGACATGAGATGACCAATCACCCAGTGCTTACAAAGACAAAGCATAGCACTGGAGGTGGTCAAATTCAGGCATCACCGTTTACATAAGGCTGTTTAATAAAAAAAATCCCCGGTAGCAAATGTTTGGAAAATTGATGTGTGTTTAAAGTTCCCTGAAGGAATGGGGATACACGCTGAAGTCAAAGTCTAAGATGTATTTGCAAGGTTCCATGAAAGGAAAGTGAATGTTCAGAAACTTACAGCAGACCATAAAAACAACAATCAGTTTGAGTCCTCTTTCTGTCATCTTCCGAGCGTTGATTATAAAGGCATTTTCAGGGTCTCCCTGACAGTCAGCCTCAATGCCGAATGCTGTAGAGGCGATGACATCCAGAGAATACAGCCCAAATATGCTGGAACAAATTAATGTCAAGTTTTAAACTTTGAGGACAGTGTCAACATGTTTCTATTCACTTCTTTGAATATATTTTCTTCACAATTTCAAATTGGATGCTTTTATTCACTTCTTCAAATATTTATTTACAATTTCATATGGGTGAGTGAGTGAGTACGGTTTTATGCTGCTTTTAGCAATATTCCAGCAGTATCACAGTGGGGACACCAGAAATGGGCTTCACACATTGTAATAAGTGAGTGAGTGATTGTTTAAAGCACAGTCAGCAGTATTCAAGCTACAACATGATGTAAATAACTGGACCAGGCAAACCAGTGACTGAAAGCATAAGCAACGATCCACACCATCAGGTCATGATGACACAAATCAGCCTGACCAACCAATACAATGTTACTGGACCCTTGCACCAAGCATGAGCAATGATCCACACCATCAGGCCATGATGACACAAGTCAGTCTGACCACCCGACACAATGTTACTGGACCCTTGCACCAAGCATGAGCAACGATCCACACCATCAGGCCATGATGACACAAATCAGCCTGACCACCAGACACAATGTTACTGGACCCTTGCACCAAGCATGAGCAACGATCCACACCATCAGGCCATGATGACACAAATCAACCTGACCACCTGACACAATGTTACTGGACCCTTGCACCAAGCATGAGCAACGATCCACACCATCAGGTCATGATGACACAAATCAGCCTGACCACTCGACACAATGTTACTGGACCCTTGCACCAAGCATGAGCAACGATCCACACCATCAGGCCATGATGACACAAATCAGCCTGACCACCCGACACAATGTTACTGGACCCTTGCACCAAGCATGAGCAACGATCCACACCATCAGGCCATGATGACACAAATCAGCCTGACCACCCGACACAATGTTACTGGACCCTTGCACCAAGCATGAGCAACGATCCACACCATCAGGTCACGATGACACAAATCAGCCTGACCACCCGACACAATGTTACTGGAACCTTGCACCAAGCACAGTGGCGGTCACAGTGGTCGCCAGCTCTCACTATCTCAAAAGTTCTTCTATCCATCACTTCCTTGTTGACTGACGCCAACCCTGACGACCCTCTTGTCCCTGAGATTGCCAGAGTTTACAAAACGGATCGTCAAAAGTATGAGGAAACAGCCCGAGACTGGACCAAAAAGTATGCATCTTAAAACATTTTTTAAGTTTGTAAGTTTAACGATCCACACCATCAGGCCATGATGACACAAATCAGCCTGACCACCCGACACAATGTTACTGGACCCTTGCACCAAGCATGAGCAACGATCCACACCATCAGGCCATGATGACACAAATCAGCCTGACCACCAGACACAATGTTACTGGACCCTTGCACCAAGCATGAGCAACGATCCACACCATCAGGCCATGATGACACAAATCAGCCTGACCACCCGACACAATGTTACTGGACCCTTGCACCAAGCATGAGCAATGATCCACACCATTAGGTCATGATGACACAAATCAGCCTGACCACCCGACACAATGTTACTGGACCCTTGCACCAAGCATGAGCAACGATCCACACCATCAGGTCATGATGACACAAATCAACCTGACCACCAGACACAATGTTACTGGACCCTTGCACCAAGCATGAGCAACGATCCACACCATCAGGTCATGATGACACAAATCAGCCTGACCACCTGACACAATGTTACTGGACCCTTGCACCAAGCATGAGCAACGATTCACACCATCAGGTCATGATGACACAAATCAGTCTGACCACCCGACACAATGTTACTGGACCCTTGCACCAAGCATGAGCAACGATCCACACCATCAGGCCATGATGACACAAATCAGCCTGACCACCAGACACAATGTTACTGGACCCTTGCACCAAGCATGAGCAACGATCCACACCATCAGGCCATGATGACACAAATCAGCCTGACCACCCAACACAATGTTACTGGACCCTTGCACCAAGCATGAGCAACGATCCACACCATTAGGTCATGATGACACAAATCAGCCTGACCACCCGACACAATGTTACTGGACCCTTGCACCAAGCATGAGCAACGATCCACACCATCAGGTCATGATGACACAAATCAGCCTGACCACCAGACACAATGTTACTGGACCCTTGCACCAAGCATGAGCAACGATCCACACCATCAGGCCATGATGACACAAATCAGCCTGACCACCTTACACAATGTTACTGGACCCTTGCACCAAGCATGAGCAACGATTCACACCATCAGGTCATGATGACACAAATCAGTCTGACCACCCGACACAATGTTACTGGACCCTTGCACCAAGCATGAGCAACGATCCACACCATCAGGTCATGATGACACAAATCAGCCTGACCACCAGACACAATGTTACTGGACCCTTGCACCAAGCATGAGCAACGATCCACACCATTAGGTCATGATGACACAAATCAGCCTGACCACCTGACACAATGTTCCTGGAACCTTGCACCAAGCATGAGCAACGATCCACACCATCAGGCCATGATGACACAAATCAGCCTGACCACCAGACACAATGTTACTGGACCCTTGCACCAAGCATGAGCAACGATCCACACCATCAGGTCATGATGACACAAATCAGCCTGACCACCAGACACAATGTTACTGGACCCTTGCACCAAGCATGAGCAACGATCCACACCATTAGGTCATGATGACACAAATCAGCCTGACCACCAGACACAATGTTACTGGAACCTTGCACCAAGCATGAGCAACGATCCACACCATCAGGTCATGATGACACAAATCAGCCTGACCACCAGACACAATGTTACTGGAACCTTGCACCAAGCATGAGCAACGATCCACACCATTAGGTCATGATGACACAAATCAGCCTGACCACCAGACACAACGTTACTGGAACCTTGCACCAAGCATGAGCAACGATCCACACCATCAGGTCATGATGACACAAATCAGCCTGACCACCAGACACAATGTTACTGGAACCTTGCACCAAGCATGAGCAACGATCCACACCATTAGGTCATGATGACACAAATCAGCCTGACCACCCGACCCAATGTTACTGGACCCTTGCACCAAGCATGAGCAACGATCCACACCATTAGGTCATGATGACACAAATCAACCTGACCACCTGACACAATGTTCCTGGAACCTTGCACCAAGCATGAGCAATGATCCACACCATCAGGCCATGATGACACAAATCAGCCTGACCACCAGACACAATGTTACTGGACCCTTGCACCAAGCATGAGCAACGATCCACACCATCAGGCCATGATGACACAAATCAGCCTGACCACCCGACACAATGTTACTGGACCCTTGCACCAAGCATGAGCAACGATCCACACCATTAGGTCATGATGACACAAATCAGCCTGACCACCCGACACAATGTTACTGGACCCTTGCACCAAGCATGAGCAACGATCCACACCATCAGGTCATGATGACACAAATCAGCCTGACCACCAGACACAATGTTACTGGACCCTTGCACCAAGCATGAGCAACGATCCACACCATCAGGCCATGATGACACAAATCAGCCTGACCACCTGACACAATGTTACTGGACCCTTGCACCAAGCATGAGCAACGATTCACACCATCAGGTCATGATGACACAAATCAGTCTGACCACCCGACACAATGTTACTGGACCCTTGCACCAAGCATGAGCAACGATCCACACCATCAGGTCATGATGACACAAATCAGCCTGACCACCAGACACAATGTTACTGGACCCTTGCACCAAGCATGAGCAACGATCCACACCATCAGGCCATGATGACACAAATCAGCCTGACCACCCGACACAATGTTACTGGAACCTTGCACCAAGCATGAGCAACGATCCACACCATCAGGTCATGATGACACAAATCAGCCTGACCACCAGACACAATGTTACTGGACCCTTGCACCAAGCATGAGCAACGATCCACACCATTAGGTCATGATGACACAAATCAGCCTGACCACCTGACACAATGTTCCTGGAACCTTGCACCAAGCATGAGCAATGATCCACACCATCAGGCCATGATGACACAAATCAGCCTGACCACCCGACACAATGTTACTGGACCCTTGCACCAAGCATGAGGAACTGGGGACATCTTCAGCCCCAGAATCTACACAGGGACTCTCAACCTATGAGTTTTAAGTTTACTTACTCTTGCATTTTGACTGTTTTCGTGCCTTGTTCTGTAGTTTTCCAGAGGTTTGTCACTAGAGAAGCCATGCAAGTCTGCATCAGCGGTATCATCTGTCAATAAATATTCCTCCATTCAGTCCTCCAACCATTTAATCATTCCAGTCATAGCATAGTTCCTTTGGTTGAAGTATGATCAAAAAGAACATTGTGTGCTCCGCTACATGGCGAAGTTGAGGGTGTATTAAGGGTCAGGGAATTTTATATTTTCTCTCTTGATTCAAGTAGGGTCAGTTGTACTTGTGACATGACCTGAGCATGACCTGACCTAGTTCATCCTGTCTGCTGTGAACCTGGGACTCAGGACAATCAGGACATGACATGACCTGAGCATGATATTACCTTCATCCTGCCTGCTGTGAACGTGGGACGCAGGACAATCAGGACATCACATGACCTGACCTAGTTCATCCTGCATGCTGTGAACGTGGGACGCAGGACAATCAGGACATGACATGACGTAACCTGAGCATGACATTACCTCCTTCATCCTGCATGCTGTGAACGTGGGCCTCAGGACAATCAGGACATGACATGACCTGAGCATGACATTACCTCCTTCATCCTGCCTGCTGTGAACGTGGGACGCAGGACAATCAGGACATGACGTAACCTGAGCATGACATTACCTCCTTCATCCTGCCTGCTGTGAACATGGGCCTCAGGACAATCAGGGCATGACATTACCTCCTTCATCCTGCATGCTGTGAACGTGGGCCTCAGGACAATCAGGACATGACATTACCTCCTTCATCCTGCCTGCTGTGAACATGGGACGCAGGACAATCAGGACATGACGTAACCTGAGCATGACATTACCTCCTTCATCCTGCCTGCTGTGAACATGGGCCTCAGGACAATCAGGACATGACATTACCTCCTTCATCCTGCATGCTGTGAACGTGGGCCTCAGGACAAACAGGACATGACATGACCTGAGCATGACATTACCTCCTTCATCCTGCCTGTGAATGTGGGACGCAGGACAATCAGGACATGACATGACCTGAGCATGACATTACCTCCTTCATCCTGCCTGTGAATGTGGGACTCAGGACAATCAGGACATGACATGACCTGAGCATGACCTGACCTAGTTCATCCTGCATGCTGTGAACGTGGGACTCAGGACAATCAGGACATGACATGACCTGAGCATGACATTACCTCCTTCATCCTGCCTGTGAATGTGGGACGCAGGACAATCAGGACATGACATGACCTGAGCATGACATTACCTCCTTCATCCTGCCTGTGAATGTGGGACTCAGGACAATCAGGACATGACATGACCTGAGCATGACCTGACCTAGTTCATCCTGCATGCTGTGAACGTGGGACTCAGGACAATCAGGACATGACATGACCTGAGCATGACATTACCTCCTTCATCCTGCCTGCTGTGACCGTGGGACGCAGGACAATCAGGACATGACATTACCTTCTTCATCCTGCCTGTGAATGTGGGACGCAGGACAAGACATGACATGACCTGATCATTACCTCCTTCATCCTGCCTGCTGTGAACCTGGGACTCAGGACAATCAGGACATGACATGACCTGAGCATGACATTACCTTCTTCATCCTGCCTGCTGTGAACCTGGGACTCAGGACAATCAGGACATGACATGACCTGATCATTACCTCCTTCATCCTGCCTGCTGTGAACCTGGGACTCAGGACAATCAGGACATGACATGACCTGATCATTACCTCCTTCATCCTGCCTGCTGTGAACCTGGGACTCAGGACAATCAGGACATGACATGACCTGAGCATGATATTACCTCCTTCATCCTGCCTGCTGTGAACGTGGGACTCAGGACATGACATGACATGACCTGAGCATGACCTGACCTAGTTCATCCTGCCTGCTGTGAACGTGGGACTCAGGACAATCAGGACATGACATGACCTGAGCATGACATTACCTCCTTCATCCTGCATGCTGTGAACGTGGGACTCAGGACAATCAGGACATGACCTGAGCCTGACATTACCTCCTTCATCCTGCCTGCTGTGAACGTGGGACTCAGGATGCCCCGAATGAACTTCCAGTGATCATCAACCAAGAAAACAAGCGACTCCTTAAACAGCGGGTCTATTGGAAAGTTGGTGTTTTTCTGAAAGTATAAATAAGATTGCAACAGCACTGTAGCTCTGACAGCCATTTAAGAACATTTACTGTCAGCGATGATGTTCAAATATTTTCTGCATAATACTGAGTCTAAAAGTTTGGACAAATATGAAACAAGCATCAAATTTCAGCAATGTGTCTTCAAGTGCAACAATGTTGTAGGGCGGAGGAGGGAGGAGAGGGACCCAAGGAGGGTTGTTGAGGGTTGTTTAGGGTTGTTGAGGATGACCTGTTTAGGGAGGGGTAACACTGTCATTTCCCCAGGCTTGTTTAGGAGGGGGAACGGAGGGAGGGGAGGGACCCAAGGAGGGTTGTTGAGAAGGACCTGTTGAGAGAGGGGTAACACTGTCATTTCCCCAGGCTTGTTTAGGAGGGGGAACGGAAGGAGGGGAGGGACCCAAGGAGGGTTGTTGAGGAGGAGGTGCAATACACAACAATTGATTGGCATGAAGAAACATCTACTTTTTACATCTGAATAGATGGTAGCTGGTAGCTGTGGCTTCAAAATAGCAGGTGAATTTTATAAAATCTACCACAGACAGGAATTTTGGATACCTGCACAAAGAGGTTGAGCCAATGATGACTTGTCTGCAAGATCATTTAGTTTTGGATGGTGGATATTTATCAAGTCGGACCAGAATTCTGTGAGGAACTTTACAGACACCATGGCTGGCACCATTCACATAACTTTTCATATGCATGGTGCCTTTAGAGGAGATGTGGCAATGTGATTGTCAGCAAATGGAGAAATGGCAAACTGACTTAATTCCAATCAAACAAAATAAAGGTGAAAGAAGCAAACATGCAGACTGTTTTACCACCTGCACCAGGAGCAACCAAGTGAAGTAATCAGGTTGCACACCAAAATATTGGCTGCACCATTTTATCAAACCAGTACCTTGAAACACTGTATGTTCAGCTATTTGAATATCAAATAAATTCAAAGAGAAAATAAACTTGAAGATGTGCTCCAGTGCTTATTTTGAGGAAATCTGTATATGGGTTTTCACATCTTGATATCAAGTAAAAAAACTTAAACAGAAGTTTCAAAGTGTCTGTTTGTTGTGATTGTAACTGCATGAAAGACTGTTCAAGTGCTAATCATGAAGAATTAGTTCTGCAAGTTCCCTGTATTCAGACCGCCTGTGTATTTCACTATTTTCATGAACTTTTGTTTCCTGGATTCTAAAAGATCTGCGGCAAGTTTTAAAGAATTCAGTTTTCTATTTTTGTTAAATTTGACTGCTGGTGTGCACTTGTGGTGGGAAATGTTACCTGCACTCGGTGCAACCTGACAATAAAAGTTACCTGCATTTGCAATGTTTTACCTGCACAGGTGCAGCTTGGATATAGCGACAGTCAAACCACGACAACAGTCAAATCAGAACAAACAGTCAAACCAGTACAAGAAGCAAACAGAGCACTAGATTCAGTCAAACAGTGCAGTAAAATTTGAACCACAGTCAAACCACTACAAGCAGTACAAGAGTCAAACCACAAAAACAGTCAAACCAGTACAAACAGTCAAACCAGTACAACAGTCAAACCAGTACAAAGTCAAACCTGCACAACACTCAAACCAGTACAACAGTCAAACCAGTACAGTCAAACCAGTACAACAGTCAAACCAGTACAACAGTCAAACCTTTGCAACAGTCAAACCAGTGCAACAGTCAAACCAGTACAAACAGTCAAACCAGTGCAAACAGTCAAACCAGTGCAAACAGTCAAACCAGTGCAAACAGTCAAACCAGTACAAACAGTCAAACTAGTACAAACAGTCAAACCTGCACAACACTCAAACCAGCACAACGGTCAAACCAGTACAAAAAGTCAAACCAGTACAAACAGTCAAATCAGTACAAACAGTCAAACTAGTACAAACAGTCAAACCAGTACAAACAGTAAAGCCAGCACAACAGTAAAACCAGCAGAACAGTCAAACAAGTACAACAGTCAAACCAGTACAACAGTCAAACTAGTACAGTAAAACCAGTACAAACAGTAAAACCAGTACAACAGTCAATCCAGTACAACAGTCAAACTAGAACAAACAGTAAAACCAGTAGAACAGTCAAATCAGAACAAACAGTCAAACCAGTACAACAGTCAAACTAGTACAGTCAAATCAGTACAAACAGTCAAACCAGTACAACAGTCAATCCAGTACAACAGTCAAACCAGTAGAACAGTCAAACCAGTGCAACAGTCAATCCAGTGTAACAGTCAAACCAGGACAAACAGTCAAACCAGTGCAACAGTCAAACTAGTACAAACAGTCAAACCAGTTGAACAGTCAAATCAGTACAACAGTCAAACCAGTACAAACAGTCAAACGAGTACAACAGTCAAACCAGTGCAACAGTCAAACCAGTGCAACAGTCAAACTAGTACAGTCAAATCAGTACAAACAGTCAAACCAGTACAACAGTCAATCCAGTAAAAGTCATTGCAGAACAAGCAGTCAAACTTGTACAACAGTCAAACAGTGCAACACTCAAACCAGTAGTCAGTCAAACTAGTTAAAGAAGCAAAGAAAGCAATAGATTATGTCAATCAGTACAGTCAAACTAGTAGAGGCAGTCAAACGAGTTTGACAGTCAAATCACTTCAACATTCAAATCAATACAACAGTCAAACCAGTATGACATTCAAAGCAGTAGGCTAGGAAAACCAGTACATTAATTTAGCCATAGCAGTACAACAGTCAAGGCAACACAAGGAGTCAAACCTGTACAAGCTTAGCAATACAGTGCTGGGGACTAATCTATCCTGAGAATGAATATCTTACTCACTGAGCGGTTAATGAACGATGAAAATTCCTTAACCGTGATCTGCTTGATTATGTCGATGTCGGAAACGAGATATATCGGTTGGCGCATACTGAAAAGACTGGAAAAAATAAACATATATATAAACATACATATAAATATATATATAAAAATACATATTATTTCAGTAAATTTAGATTTATGACACAGTGGAAGTAGATGTAAACTGACTGCCATAAGAAAACTTTATAAACACAATTGCAACAATTTAAAAAAACAAGTTCAAACTAAATCAGTGCACAAAACACATCAACCAAACACAACAATGCTCTATGCCAAAATGATACACGTCCATGGTATGTTGTTTTGTATAAAATGTGAAAAAGGTGAAAAACAAGTGCCGCTTGACAACCGAAACTACACATGCAATAAGGGTATACAAATGATGTAGACGGCATGTCAGATACTGACACTGATAAAAATCTACCATAGAAATGCCACGACTGGCACCCGAGCAAAGAGGGTATGACACGGATCGGAGCCACCCATGCCCACATTGCTAGAACTTTTGGTTTCTCCCCTGTTGCTGTAACTAACCTGATGCACCGTTACATACAGACCAGACAGATAGGCCAAGAGAGGCCAAGAACAGGCAGACCCAAGGTAACTATGCACAATGAAGACTGGTATTTGTGTACTTTGCATCTCTGGAATTGATTCCTTAGAGTGACTTCATCAGCGACAAATGCCTAAGGGCATATGGTTAGTAGACAGATAATGGCAAGGCAACTCAGGGCTCAAGGAATTTGGGCTTACAGACTTTACAGAAGACAGTTTTTGAGAGGACAACATCATTGTCAGAGATTGAGATGGGTAAATTGTTGGCAGTGATGTGACTGGCAGTGATGAGAGTCGGTTCTTTCTGGTTAGAGCTGATGGAAGACAGTGTGTTTACTGCTAAAGGGAAGAATGAACGGCGACATGCTGCGTTCAGGTGGTGGATGGAGTGTTATGGTGTGGGGAGGAATGTGTGAAGTTTAAGAGGGTATGAGACGGACAAATGTCACAACAGGGTAAAAAATATAGTATGCCAAAACACTTTACAAATGTTATTATACGTCCCATGCTAATTGCATATCAAATATACATGACACATGCAGAAAAGGCTGATCTAAAGGCAGACTGACAGTTTCCATATCACCAGGTTCAACACAACATCTGTCTGAAGTAAATATACAGGATATTTGTTGTAAAATATTTCTTTTCTGTCAGAACAGATTTGTCTTCCATCAAAGGAAAGAATATTGAGTTACATACGATTTGCAGGTCTTTCTTGAATTGAAATTCAGTGGCATTCTATTTGAACAATCACCAATGTATGGTGCAACGAACGTTTGTAACTAATGACATACTGAACATGCTACTTACCCAACAACCTTGCCGTATTTCTCAATAATGTGTTGGTCATATTTTGGAATAGAACCCTAAAATGGAAAGCAAATTGTTTAAAACAAAAACATTGATTGGTTAAATATGAACCTGATTACCAGAGGTACAGAAGCTCACTTTTATTCAGTTAAATAAAACATGAGTGAAAATGGTCGGCTAAAAATACAATAAACTTTGCTACAATGTTTTTCCATTGATATTTTTCAATTCTCTGAACAGTTCTAGTACACCTTTTTAATACTTCGGGATAAGCTACAATGCATTTTCTTTGATACTTTTTCACAACATTTTGAGGGTTCCACCGTTTTGATATTTTGGGATGTGTCAGTAGAGAGGTTTGTAGATCTGACTGAAAATGTTAAGTTGAAGGGTTTTTTTAAAAATGTTCAAAAGTGAAAAAAAGTCGGTTTAACTGAGACATGTTGGTATTGGTTGTCTTTTGTATCAAGTACTTACATTATAGGGGCGGTCGGGTAGCCTAGTGGTTAAAGCGTTCGTTCGTAACGCCAAAGACACACGTTCAATTCCTGACATGGGTACAATGTGTGAAGCCCATTTCTGGTGTCCCCCGCCCTGATATTACTGGAATATTGTTAAAAGTGGCGTGAAACCATCCTCACTCACTTACATGATAATCTAAGTAAGAGCTCTATAGAAGTGCTCTTGAGTACAGTTCCGAAGGATGGACCCATGATTCATTTTTATTGTCAACAGTACAACGACAGATATATTTTTCCAAAATTTAATTGCCCATAATTAAGGGTGCATATCACACGAGAGTGCGTATTTTACACGAATAAATAAGTCTTGTGTACATTGATCAATCGGAAGGGGTGCTAATTGGGATTGTTCACTAGCCAATATCTTAGCAAATATCGCCATGGGCGCTTATTAGAGAGGGGCGCTTATTACGTTGAATATGGTAATGTATATTCAGCAGTGGAAACTAGTCCTTAAATATGGTCAGTTTTTACAAGTCCTTATGAGAGCTTAACTACTGGGCGGTTTGGCAAAGACTACAAGACGAGTGTTGTTGACATTTTAGAAACATTTTACTGTAAACATTTTGGATTTTTTGTGATGTTTACATCTTGGATAACAAAGGACAAGTTAATTGAAACTCATAATTGTGACTTGATCACTATAAGTGTGGCACCAGTGTTTCAGGATATGTATGTCTTATGAAAACCCACAAGTAGTTCTGAATATCTAATCAGTGTCTCGCCTTTCCCCAAACTGGGAGTTCACAGATGCGCAAAGCAAGAAATCAGAAGGTGTTGCTTTAACTCACAAATTTCTTGTATTGAGACATTGCTCCAAATAGTCCCGGTTCTGGACCCGGAATTCCCAACTTCTTGAAGAAGCCATGTGTCCAGGTGGCGTACCTGAAACAACGGGGAATACTGTAATAAGGGGGAATACTGAAACAAGGGGGGATACTGAAACAAGGGGGAATACTGAAACAAGGGGGAATACTGAAACAAGGGGGAACACTGAATCAAGGGGGAATACTGAAACAAGGGGGAATACTGAATCAAGGGGGAATACTGAAACAAGGGGTGATACTGAAACAAGGGGAATACTGAATCAAGGGGGAATACTGAATCAAGGGGGAATACTGAAACAAGGGGGGATACTGAAACAAGGGGGAATACTGAAACAAGGGGGAATACTGAAACAAGGGGAAATACTGAAACAACAGGGAATATTGAAAGAAGGGGGAATATTGAAAGAAGGGGGGATACTGAAACAAGGGGGAATACTGAAACAAGGGGGAATACTGAAACAAGGGGGAATACTGAAACAAGGGGAAATACTGAAACAACAGGGAATATTGAAAGAAGGGGGAATATTGAAAGAAGGGGGGATACTGAAACAAGGGGGAATACTGAAACAAGGGGGAATACTGAAACAACGGGGAATATTGAAACAAGGGGGGATACTGAAACACGGGGGAATACTGAAACAAGGGGGAATACTGAAACAAGAGGGAATACTGAAACAAGGGGGAATACTGAAACAACGGGGAATACTGAAACAACGGGGAATACTGAAACAACGGGGAATATTGAAACAAGGGGGAATACTGAATCAAGGGGGAATACTGAATCAAGGGGGAATACTGAAACAAGGGGGGATACTGAAACAAGGGAGAAAACTGAAACATTGGGGAATACTGAAACAAGGGGGGATACTGAAACAAGGGGGAATACTGAAACAAGGGGGAATACTGAAAGAAGGGGGAATACTGAAACAAGGGGGAATACTGAAACATGGGGGAATACTGAAACATGGGGGAATACTGAAACAAAGGGGAATATTGAAACAAGGGGGAATACTGAATCAAGGGGGAATACTTAAACAAGGGGGAATACTGAAACAAGGGGGAATACTGAAACAAGGGGGAATACTGAAACAAGGTGGGATACTGAAACAAGGGGGAATACTGAAACAAGGGGGAATACTGAAACAAGAGGGAATACTGAAACAAGGGGGAATACTGAAAGAAGGGGGGATACTGAAAGAAGGGGGAATACTGAATCAAGGGGGAATACTGAAACAAGGGGGAATACTGAAACAAGGGGGATACTGAAACAAGGGGGAATACTGAATCAAGGGGTAATACTGAAACAAGGGGGGATACTGAAACAAGGGGGAATACTGAAACAAGGGGGGGGGGGGGGGGGGGTACTGAAACAAGGGGGAATACTGAAACAAGGGGGAATACTGAAACAAGGGGGAATACTGAAACAAGGGGGTAATACTGAAACAAGGGGGGATACTGAAACAAGGGGGAATACTGAAACAAGGGGGTATAGACTGTGTGAGTGGACTGTGTGAGTAAGTGGACTGTGTGAGTGAGTGGACTGTGTGAGTGAATTGACTGTGTGATCAACTGTGTGAGTGAGTGGACTGTGTGAGTGAGTGGACTGTGTGAGTGAGTGGACTGTGTGAGTGAGATGACTGTGTGAGTGGACTGTGTGAGTGAGTGGACTGTGTGAGTGGACTGTGTGAGTGAGATGACTGTGTGAGTGAGATGACTGTGTGAGTGGACTGTGTGAGTGAGATGACTGTGTGAGTGAGTTGACTGTGTGAGTGGACTGTTTGTGTGAGTGGACTGTGTGAGTGAGTGGACTGTGTGAGTGGACTGTTTGTGTGAGTGGACTGTGTGAGTGAGTGGACTGTGTGAGTGGACTGTGTGAGTGAGTGGACTGTGTCAATGGACTGTGTCGGTGAGTGGACTGTGTGAGTGGACTGTGTGAGTGAGTGGACTATGTCAATGGACTGTGTCAGTGAGTGGACTGTGTGAGTGGACTATGTGAGTGAGTGGACTGTGTCAATGGACTGTGAGTGAGTGGACTGTGTGAGTGAGTGGACTATGTCAGTGGACTGTGAGTGAGTGGACTGTGTGAGTGGACTGTGTGAGTGGACTGTGTGAGTGAGTGGACTATGTCAATGGACTGTGTGAGTGAGTGGACTATGTCAATGGACTGTGAGTGAGTGGACTGTGTGAGTGGACTGTGTGAGTGGACTGTGTGAGTGAGTGGATTATGTCAATGGACTGTGAGTGAGTGGACTGTGTGAGTGGACTGTGTGAATGAGTGGACTGTATGAGTGAGTGGACTGTGAGTGAGGGGACTGTGTCAATGGACTGTGTGATAGGGTGGACTGTGTGAGTGAACTGTGTGAGGGAGTGGGCTGTGTGAGTGAGTGGACTGTGTGAGTGAGTGCATGGGCTGTGTGAGTGAGTGGGCTGTGTGAGTGAACTGCATGTGTGAGAGTGGGTTGTGTGAGAGGACTGTGATTGAGTGGTCTGTGTGAGTGAGTGGACTATGTGAGTAAGTGGACTGTGTGAGTGAGGATTGTGTGAGTGAGCGGACTGTCTGATTGAGTGGTCTGTGTGAACGAGTGGACAGTGTTTTGAGGCTTGTTTGTTTGTTGTTTACTGCCCCACTCAGCGATATTCCAGCTATGTGACGGCCGCTTGTAAATAATTAATCTGTACCACACAATTCAGTGATTGACATCATGAGCAGCCATTTACGGAATAGGGATACAAGCCTAGACACCGCTTCGGGCAAGCATGGATTGCTTTATTATCGTAAGATCTTAACGGGTTGTGTTTTCAGGTATGGCCATAGTAGTAGACTATAGCCATAAAGTGAAATTGTATAATATGCCTGTCAATGCATTTGCATTTTCCATGTCCAAAAGAGGCAAGATAGAAACTGTCATATTACAGGGGGTGTAATAATGGTAAGAAATTGGAGTTATGTCCCTTAGTGCATTGTCTGCTCATCTTGCTTTCCCATGACAATGTCTTCCAAACAAGGTTAGACTGTTTTGCATTCTCTTGCAAAAGAAACACATTTTACATTTTATTATGGAATATGATAAAAATATTGTTATAGGCCTATGGCACTTTTCATATCCTACCCTTGATCAACCCGAGACCCCCATATCACCTGAGACCCCATATCAACATGAGACCCCCCTGTCAACATGAGACCCCATATCAACCCGAGACCCCCCTGTCAACATGAGACCCCCCTGTCAACATGAGACCCCATATCAACCCGAGACCCCCCTGTCAACATCAGCCCCCCATATCAACCCGACACCCAATATCAACCCGAGACCCCCGTCAACATGAGACACCCCTAATAAACCAAGACCCCCATTTCAACCCAAGACCCCCATTTCAACCCAAGACCCCCATTTCAACCCGTGACTCCCATATTAACCCGAGACCCCAATATCAACCCAAGACCCCCCATATCAACATGAGACCCACCTATCAAACCAAGATCCCCTATCAACCCGAGACCCCCATTTCAACCCAAGACCCCCATATCAATATCAGCCTGAGAGCCCGGCCCATATCAAACAGTGACCCCCCTATATATCATGACGCATAATTAAACCAACCTAGAAAATTGGCCCATTGTCAAACAGACTTGATAGATTTATGGGGTAATAAAAGGCCACTTGAAGCCCAGTTTCAAGGACTAATTTTTAAGCTACCAAGTGTACCGAAACAGGTTATAACAGTGCGATTTTACACTGCATGTCTGCAGTGACCAAATATGGTCTCTGATATCCCCTGCAGTGAAATCGGTTGTGAAATTGCGCAAGACACAATAACATTTCTTGGTCACTGCACAGAAAATATACAGGGATTCAATGCTAATTGAAGTAAAATTTTAATCACACCATTTCATTTTTTGCATCGAGGTGTACCCAGAGCATTATATATAGAGTCTGCTTCCATAACATGTGTTATTTCGACTTAACGACGCAACAGACGTATGATAGTATTGATACTTGATACTACCACAACTCACCAATACAACCCAACGACAGCCCCGGCCCCGACAAGGACGAGCTTGTAATCCGTTGACAGCCTGACAACTAACTCAAGCCCTTCTCCTGCCTTCTCTTTTATAACCCCCGCCGTCTCCGGAGACAACAACTTCTCCACAGTTGACCACAACCTCTCCATTGCCTGCTACTTCCTGAACTGTTACAAATATGACCTTTGTAGGTGATCGATGTTTACACTGTGAACGGCAACAGTCGAAAACGGATGTACCCATTAAGGCAACACAGTTTTTAGACAAAACGGCAATGCTCGTTTCTCCCCCTTGTTTGAATCTAAAACCTATGTTTTTCTGAGAAAAAGACAAATGTACGATATATTTGGTATTTTCTTGTCCGATTTTTTATTATCTTAATCCACCTGTGAAGTTCCGGGGTAGAATAAGTTTTCAGCATACCATGCTTGCAGTAAAAGGCGAGTATGCTTGACGTAAGAGGCGACTATTATATAACGGGATCGGGTGGTCAGACTCGCTGACTTGGTTGATGCATGTCATCGATCCCAATTGCGCGGATCGATGCTCATGATATTAATCACTAGATTATCTGGTCCAGACTCGATTATTTTACAGACCGCCGTCATATATAGCTGGAATATTGCTGACTGCGGCGTTAAACAACAAACCCACCAAACAACTGTAGGATAAGGGGGCCAGGGGGTCCCTGTCGTCTAAGGCGATTCGATGTGCAGAGTTGCGTCCCTTTGGCACGCCAGAAAACTATGATTGTGGGTTCGCCCCGATTATTACCCACGGGGTAAAGATACAGGTGGTAAGATACTAAATCCGTACGTCACACGTGTGTCGTACAAGGTTGACCTTGTTTTATTCATTTTGATTTGATAACCGTGACCTCTGTCACACCGGGACTACTTTTTTCATTCATAAAAATCGCGAGACGTCATTCATTTTGCAACCACAAGGCAGAACTGAAGAAATTAATGAGAACGAGAGATATTTACAAACACTTTATTAAACCAAACAAAATAGTCACAGTTCAATATAAGTTATGCATAGAGCTTCTACAAACATTATATAATCGAGCGATATCTATTTACAATATTGACTACCGATCAATAGAGCGAGGGCCCCCATGAGCGTGACGCACCCGACCACTTTCGCAAATTTCAATTTGATTTAACGTAAAGGTATAAGCGTTGTGAAATGAAGTATGTTTAAACTATCTGGACAGATATTTAGCCTTACTTGGGATGATCCGTTTGTGCCTTCAGTGTCCCCTTCGAAGCGTATTTTGTGGCGCTGTTTCGGGAGATGTTGTTCATGAATGAACGTACACGACTGCACTACCATATCACCAAAAGTGAACAATTCTGATACAAATCATTCGAAAGCTCCGTGGAAGTGTGCCTGACTTCTGATTTTGTGTCCCCAAACATCCCAAAAGTGAACAATAACATTCCCTATCTCTAGCGTAAAACGCTGTGAGTAGGCCCAGATCAAGGTTGTCTTTTCTTATTCCGGTGGTGACCTTGCCCTTCGATCGTTCGAAGCTGTCACTGACATGCAAGCAGACTTGAGTTTGTTGATTTTCACGTCTTCAGTATAGGGTGGTACAGTTAACATGAATGTCTTTGGCGAACACTCTGATTTCCCTCTGGTACGATGATATAAATTCTGCTGATAGATCAATGAAACTGACACATTTTGATTGCACAGACGGGACACCGGCAGTGCGAGTGGCCGACTGTTAGTCCGATATTCAAAGCGCGGCGCTAATGTGACTTTTCAAATTTTCATAAAGGTGTCCTTCGTACTAACAACATGGCGCTTGAATTACCTTAAGTTGAAGAATTTCGTCCATAAGGATCTTGAGCGTCGGTGTTGTTTTGTTTGTCAACAATGCCCATATTTGAGCATATATCAATATTCATGCGCAACCAGATTTTGCAACCGGTTTCAGTTTGGTCGGTCAACGAACTAAAGTTGTTATGTATTTACACTTAAATATATATTTAATGTGGGTAATAAATAAAATACCACACTCATTCTCGTTAGATACCATTTTTACGAAACTCGTGAACTTTCTATGGTATCTAACGAGAATGAGTGTAGTATTCTCTATTTATGTTTCTAAGTTATCGAGGACCGAGTTTCCTACCCTACCACATTAGGCTGACACGCCGTGATATAGCTGGAAAGCTGTTAAAAGCGGCGTTAAACCCAACTCATTCACTCACTCGCTCTAGGACAAAACCGTATATTGATGAGAGCGGCGTTGAACAACAAACACATTGTTGGATAAAACCAATGGATAAAAATGGTTTAGCCTGAGCTTTGCGATCATAATACTGCTTCCGACACTGGGATGATCTTTGAAGATTTTCCTTGACTATTTCTTGAGTCTCAATCATCTGGGACTCCATTTCTTCCACAAGACTCCCCTTTTCTTTCATTTTTGCTTGTTCCTATGTTAGTCTATGTCATGATATTGGTAGATTAATTTATCTAAAAATACTAAGGTAGTTTGGAAGAACGGTATACCAGCTGTAGAGATATAGAGGTTATCACGCGAGTGTGTTTGGGGATGGTAAATTTTAAATATCCTGCATTAGGAATAAACATTGTATTTAGCTAAATACATCGTGTTTATTCCTAATACGGGACATTTACCATCCCCAAACACACAAGCGTGATAACCTCTTTATCATATAATGTCATTCTTTAATTCTGTGCTTCAAAATCGCTTTCCCTCTCTCACAAACATTACGAAGTTTTCCTGGAATGCGCGCATTAATATTTATTACGTCACAGGGTATAAGTGACAGTGACAGTAGCAAATATAGTTCCAACTCAAATCTGTTTCTTATACAGTGGCGAAGCAACATATACGCAAAACAACAATTGTTTTTAATTGCCTTTCGCGGCAATCCATCGGTCTGTCTGCTAGAGTAACTGCCCTTTGTCAAAGGGAAGCTACTCTTATCCTAGTCTATGAGACGTCACCGCCACGGTCAGACGTTGTTGACAGTCAGTCTGTCCTGTCATAACGTTAAGAAATGTAGTCAGATGTACACACAGCGACAAAACGAAACAAGGTAACCATTCAAACATATTTCGGCCAAATCCAACTATTTTAATTTGTGGAGAAAGGTTCAAGCCGCAGAGGTCTACAAGCACAGATATGGCTACTGATCCCGTTTCGTGCCCTCGCAAAATTGTGTCGAAATTTATATCTCCACAGTTGAAAAAACTTATAAAATGCCTTTGCTGCGTCACAGACACTGATTTTAAGTATATTAGACTGTTCTTTTGATGATGAAAGCAATTATCTCTGTAGTTTATCCAGATCGCCGATGGTAAATGCTGACTCGAATGACGAGGGGGACGCCATGTTTGTTTATAAACCCTGAAAGAAGTCCCTACTTGACCTTTGATATTTGCATCTCTATCCGCATATGACCCCAACGGATATCGTTTTTATCCGTTGGCTTTATCCTGCCGAGAAACCTACCCGTTATATGATAAACGTGTAGTATATACCTTACTTCCGAGATACGTATAGTTTATACCTTACACTGTGATACATAAAGTATGTATTTTATTATCGATATGTATACCGTTATACGTATCGTGTTCGTATATACCTTTGTTTGTTTGTTATTTAACGCCGCACTCGGCAAAGTTCCACCTATATGAGGGCGGTCAGTAAATATCGAGTCTGGACCAAGCAAAGTCGCCTTTTACGGCAAGCATGGGTTGCGGTCAAGATACGCGTCGTAATTTACTATTAAGACACATATCGGCACCAGTCCTCTCGTCTAGCGGTACAGCGTCCGCCCGGAGAGCGGAAGGTCAGGGGTTCGATCCCCGTCCGCGTCATACCAAAAGACGTTAAAAGATGGTACTTGTTGTCACCCTGTCTGGCGCTCGGCATTAAGGGCTAAAACAAGGACTGGTCGGCTCGGAGTCAGTATAGTGTGTCTGAGTAGGGTATTCATATTAAACTGCGGCATAGTATCTCAGTGTGCTAGCACTATAAATCGGCATCGGTCCGGACTAGTACAAGCAGCCACACACACACGTGCATGCACGTCGCTATATAAGTGCAATAATCTTGGACGCGACGTTAAACCCAATTTCACTGTCAAGCTACGTATATTTTATATGTATGCATCGTTGTAATCAAAATGCACAGTACCAATATATAACACAAATCGGTGTTATAATTCAATTCAGTTTTATTATAAAGTTATGTAATATAATAATTTATTATAATATGTACATCACAGATGAATTAAACTTTTCACAGGAATGTCGGCATTGCAGCAATAACAGCGAACATTACACCATAAGATAACATTTCTATAAATGTAACAAAACGTAACCACATGTAACCAGGGCCAGCCTGGCCATGCGCACCACTCTCAGAGGTCACCTTGAGGTTACTGTACACCGCAGAGCTGCTTCAGCCTGCCACTCATCTTCACAGAACTGCTTTATCAAAGCCTCATCAAAGCATGAACACAGTTTTTAAAGTTACCATGGTTACCATGTACCGGAGCTTCCTATTAACCCGAAACACTGTATAAGACCCGATCGATTCTTTTCTGAAACCATTTAAAGACAAACAATTTATAATTAATGACGGCTGATCGTTTCTCTTTAGACAATACAAAATGCCTGCAGCTAGTATATCATCAAATACTTTCATGGACTTGTGGTATTCAAAACAATGCCTTTCAGGCTAATGTCTTTCATGGCTCCGATCTGTCATGACATCTATCCATCGAAGGTCACCCGCTGGACTTGGTCGTAGTTTGTTCATGTCTCCTTCTGTGAATTTACTCGCTAGAACACAAATGGCCAGTCATAGCGTTAGTGTCAACAGGGTAGATCCTTGTTTGGTGAAATACAAGTAATCACCTCGGTGCAACCAAGCGCTACTGCAATTTATATCTCCAATTAACAATTTTCTTGATGGCTTCAATTTTACGAAACATATCGTCATTTGAGACAAGCTTTGTGACACCTTCTGCTGTCAAAGCCGATGAAACGAAATACAAAGTTGTGCTCTGACCAATGCCAACGCCACTATCGAACAGTTCTGAATGTTCCTCTGTAGCGCACGTCATCACCATCATGACGTCATACGCCATTGTCAGCTGGAGAGTAACAGATAACAGTCCTGCACGCAACTACTTCGCCAGATCTGACTTCTCTGCTTTCAACTGTTGCGTGTGCAGTTGCGTGTGCAGTTGCGTGTGCAGTTGTCTGTGCAGTTCACGGTCTGTCTTTGGTCTTGTGCGGTTTTGTCAAACAGGAATTCGTCAGTACTTCCCCAGAAGCCATTCCGAGCTCAACGACTGCGACACGACTCGGGAAGAGTCGTGTCATGTGACTAGATCACGCTGCGTCAGCGACAAGGGGGGTAGTTCATCTTTGCCAGGCCCTTTCGCCAACAATCCTTTGCGTCGCTGGAATGGCTGAAGGGAAACTGAACACAGAATCGATGAAGTCAAGAGCTGGTTTCACTGTCCATGCAGAACCCGTGGCCTTCTCGTAGAATCCACAATGTCCGCCTCTCTCTAAAGTGACTAGGAAGAAATTGAGAGAAGATCTGAACAAGTCATAAGGAATGTTTTCTTTAACACTGATTGGATCATCCATGCTGTTGATGCACAACACAGGAACTGAAATCTCGTCCACATCTCGCATGGGCGAATTTTCTTCCCAGTATTCTTCAAGTCCCGGATATCCGCCGAGCTTGCTGTACACGTGTGAATCATAGTCCTTGAAACTCCAAGCGCGGAGGGCAGCGTCAACATCAACAACGTTAGAAAAACTCTCCGCATGGCGTCCCAAAATCTTTTTCAAATACATTAGATATGTCATTTCGTATATTTTAGGAATTTTGTTCATATACACATCCTCGGAATCATATGTTGGTGAAATGCACGTGACTGAGGATAGAAGGGATGAAGAGCCGAATTCCCCTAAGTAGGACATGAGTAGATCTGCGCCCGCTCCAGCCCCGAGTCCGGCGATGGGAGAGCCAGGGAAGCGGTGTCGGAGAGATTGTATGGCACCGCGGAGATCCGAACAACAGCCGTAAGCCTCGAGCCCAGCACTAGTCAAGAAGGACCCGCCGTGACCACGACGGTTGAAGATAACGGAGCGGTACCCTCTGGAGGTAAAGACGCTGCAGTACTGCGCCATACTGGCGGCGTCGCCATTAAGGTCTGGCACAATGATGATAATAGCCGTAGCGTTGCCCATATACCGCGAGGTCGCGGTCCAGTCAAGGGCGACAACTCCGTCATCTTCGAGCTGCACATATTCTCTACGGAATTGAGTTCTGAAAAGTTTTAAAAAGAAGCCACAAAGTGTCTGCACATGCGCATTCTGTAGCCAGACCGGAAGTCTCATAGGTCGGCGCAGTGACGTGCATTTGTTAACGATGTGTTGCGCCATGGCGGAATCCCGGAAGTACAGCCTGGGAATCGATTCTTTGGGTCTGAAGAGTGTCTTAACGTAGACGACTGCGGTGAGGACGACAGTGCTGAGGAACGTCATCACGACGGTGAAAGGGTACGACAGCATCATCCAGAAAACACTTGACATCAACATCGTGGACGGTGGATGAAGCCTGAAAGAGAGGATGGGATGATTAGTAAGACGGTTGACGAGGAAAGGTCGGGTATAAAGATGTGCAGTCAGCCAAAGCGACATTATGGCGTCTGAAGTGAATCAGCCACGACAACGTAACAAGGTCGTCTGCTTTTAGGACACGTCGGAGATTGCCAGGCTGTCAAAGGCTGGTAGAGTGTTTAGCCCTGGTAACAACAGAGCGAGCTTTACATTAATTCTGTTACATCAGGGAGTCTAGATAAGACTTTGTATATACATCGTATGTGGACTCCGTGGTTGCATTAAAAAGGATAACCGTGACACCTTGACTTTGTTTAGGCTCTTTAAAATTTCCTTGAAAAATGTGCACAAGGACCCACTCTTGCTTTTTTATTTAGAGTGAGTATGGTTTTAAACCGCTTTGAGCAATATTCTAGCAATATCACTGCGGGGGACGCCAGAAATGGGCTTCACACATGTGGGAATCGAACCCAGGCCTTCAGAGTGACGAGCGCACGCTTTAACCACTAGACTACCCCATCTCCCCTTTTTATTTAGAACCTGTTTCTATCTTTAAATAATATGTAATTTAATGAGCATATCTCCATAGAAACTTAAACGCGTTTATCATGTTTTTAAAGATTATCAGATTATGCAGGTTAGTTTAAGGAGAAAGAGGTTAGTTTAAGGAGAAAGCATTCCATTTGCTTAATGCAAATCCTTGTTAAAGTATCATTTGGATTGTGTTATTGCTATACATAGTTTAGACAACACAATAGTATTACATGACACTACAATTGAATTAGATGTAGAAGATAGTCATGTTGTAGGAAGGTCGAGATCACCCTCAGTTCTTGAAGTCACGTACTAAGACGAGAGTGACACAAAAGCACCCAGTCACGTCGCCACAGCTGCAGTCAACGTTGGGAAGATTATTTTGGTTTGGGTTATCGGGCTGCATATTCACAGAGTCAGATACATAATTTGAGTTTAATAAACTGAGTTGAACGACCCTTTGGGGGCCGTGTGGCCGCATCTTGCACATGTAATCAGAGACGCACCGTGACTTATATCTTCAAACTAATTCGGCTTTGACAATACGGCGCCCTTGTATACGACATTTCTGGTAGGTTTGAGGGAGAACCACTGTTCCGTATTATTAACACGTATCATTTTCGTATATGATCTGCATCTGGGTTGCTGCCAAGTTTGCCAAGCCTCAACTCTTTTTTTTTTTATTGTGACGTATTTCATCAAAGGCACGTGCATATTCAAACTAATGCGTGGGTTATAGTGCTTTCCGGCTGATTTCAGTGATTTGTATCCGTTATTCGCTGCCCACACATCATAAAACATATCAATATATATAATAATGAAATAACTAGCACCTGTCGATACTCAAAGCCGAAGCTGTCGATACGTCCAGGGGTGTTTATAGGCACATTGTGGACGTTAACACACAAAAAGACATTTCAAATTGATCGTTTTGATGACATCTGTCGGGAAACTGCGACGAGGCGATCCCACCCACTCTATAGTATTGAACAGTATGTCCTACACGACATATGGCATGATGCAATAATATTGCAGTGACATTTCACAGTCGTGTTTTTCGTGCACTATCATTGCATTTTATATTAATTGAAATAGTATTTTCTCAGATATTCCTATGTAAATAAAAAACCTGAATATCTCTTTTGTATTAAATAATTATGACTCTTTCATACATTGCATCCAGATATATATCTCAATTTCATCTTAAACGTATCGTGTCAACGAGAACATAGCGCTGTCACGTCCTTAATTCATGGTTTTAGCCAGTGGTTGAGCAAAGATGTAGATCTTTGTAAACATCCTTGTTCGCATTAACAAAAGCTGTTCTTTCAAGCATGTCGTAAATGGTATTTGCTCAGGCTGCTATTGATTACCATTCATTTTTTGTCGGATTAAACCAGGAAGACATTTCCGTTCCACTACCTCATCACAGGCAAGAAAAAGAGACACGTACAAAGCGTCATTACTCGTTTCAGGAAATGAAAATAGACCGACACAGTGAAAGTCAGCTTTTGTAAAGAAAGCCTTCACGCCAGCAGCTTTCTCCGACGTCCGCGCGCAGGTATGTCAATTTCATCTCTCAAACTAAATGGTCCAAATCACATCGCATGTCATCCGACCTAGTTATAATTGTACCTAAGTCAACCTCTTCCCCAGACAGGGTCTGTTAGTCAAGTCTGATTAATCTTCAATAACATCATGTCAGTCAAAACATAGTCAGTCGGAAGAGATTGTCTCGTTCTTACAAGTTACGAACGTCAGTAGACATAGGTGTCGGAGCTTTCGTCACGGGCTAAGCTTTACTAAGGCTCCTAATACCCTCTATTTATGAGATTATCACAGAGTTATCTCGAAATCTGTGGTATCTCGCATGTTTATTAATCATTTTGTCTTACAGTAATTCCTGCTTTTTGTTGAGTTTGCTTAAGGAGATTATCACAACTGCACACCTTATTCCACTGTTAATTAAGTGTATAAGATGACACATTTTAATTGAGTCCATTAACTAAATAAACGTATACATGTTATAAAAGGAACCATTACGTGGTTTACTAACCAGAATTTGAAAAATTTAAAATTTAATTTAAAATAAATCCATTCATTAAATATTCAAAATATTATGAAATACATTAATGATCTGTTGAGATCAACATTAATTTTACACATACACAATATAGGATTTTCGAAACATTGTTATATTATTGAATAGAATACAATTAAAATAATAGTCGTACAACAATTTGTACAAGTAAACTATAACTATAAATAAAACAGTATCGGCAGATATGTATAATTATGATAAAATTAGTGAAATATAAATCTAAAGGTACTTATAGCTAAGCAAAACGGTTGCTACATCGTATGAAATTCACTGCCAGTTATCTACAGTAGTGAGAAAGGCAAACAAACCTACCTCGCAAGTGCTCGGTCGGAAGAAAGATTCTAGTTGCACCACGGTGTTTTCCGTTAACTAGGCTAGAGCTTGTGACGTCACACCCGGCGCGCGCCGCTCTGGTCCTGTAAGAGATTTAATTGAGGCTGTTAGTCGTGAGGAGCAAGGAGCTGTGCCTGACAGTTACAGCAGTCTGGTCGTTTGATAGGTGTCGCTCCGGGACACGCTCTGACGGGAGCTGGGATGCAAGCAAACAGAGCGGACAGCGCTCGCTACATATGCTATCTCGCAAAGCCGTCGAATATACAGCGCGAGCCAGTCCGGGCTGGAGACATGGTTCATGCCACACCGCTTCCCTGCTCCAGGGTCGATGTTATCTACTGCTCGAATACCAATGTACTAAATTCTCGGATATTTTAAACCGATTATCCAGTGAACCGAACAATGCGAACTCTGCGGTGAGATATATATCTTGTGGAATTCTGACATTCGCCAAATATCAGCTGGTGAAAACCCAGGTGTTGATAAGATATCAAGCGATTGTCTGCGTACCTGAACTTCAATAACAAATGATGTTGTTTTGCAAATGGAAACTGCGTGTCACCTTTACAACACTGATATAAATAAGAATATGAGTTTGGGTTAATAATAATAGTAATAATAATAATGCTGATGAAAATAATAACTTTATGATGCGCATAATTTCCAATCTCCATGTGGTTGCATCAATATCATTGTTGAAGGTGCCACCCCCCTACCCCCACCCCATCTCCTGAATACCGAATACTACTTAACACAAATCCCAAAAGCATTGAGACAAGGGTGGGATTTGAAGTTGAATTACCGAAAAAAATCGAAATAATATATTAAAATAATAAACTACACAAATGCAATTTTTACATACACCTTATATATTTTATAAAACGTTGAACCTGCGTACCAAACACGATTTTATTTGCTTTCTGTGTACTAGACTGCTATAGGTCGAATACCCTCTCTATACACCCCCGAATACCGCGTACCAAAAGGGGATGGCAGCCTGAATACCACACACTGATTATACATGTATTTGTTAAGTCCGTGTGATATGGTCTTAAAGGCGCCGTTCGGTGCGATCTGGTGCCATACCCGTGTATAGTACAACGGACAAAGCGAATGAACCTATAAGAAGTTATGATTATGAATATGTGTAACATTGTGATTAATGGCTACTCGTTATTTATGTCCTTTCAAAGGAAGATCCGTGAATGTCTGACAACAGCACTCCCTCGTAGAGAAGAGAAAGGTGGTTGTCATGGACAACAATGACATATATTTAAGGGTGTTTGGCGGGATTTGTTAGAAAGGGTCCGGTCTACCCGCGTGAGCGGTAGTTCAAAACAGGGGAGTGCCGCCTACACCTCTTTTTACACGGTACATAATTTGTATTCATTACTTCAGCGCTGACTGACCCACTATCTCTTAGGATTTACGCTTCACTTACGATTGTTGCTGTTTGTTGTGGAGAATATTGTCTGATCTTGTCAAACTGTTTCCCGCTAAAATGATATTTCACTGGAATGAAATTTCGATTTCATACTTTAAGATAAATATAGTGTTACGTCACTAAATGCAAAATAAATAACAATAGTTTTGGAAAAGCCAATCGATGACGATGTGTTTTCTGTTACAAGAATAGCGACAAGTCATTCGTGTTGACGTTCTCCGGTTACGCAATATTGTTTACCGAGCCGGATGTATAAGAGAAGCTATCCTCCACTGGGAGCGGTGGTATAGCCATGTGGTTAATGCGTTCACTCGTCACGCCGAAAGCCAGGGTTCGATTCCCGACGTGGGTTCAAAATGCGCAGCCCGTTTCTTATATGTTAAAATGTTGAAACCATAAGAAATAGAAAAAAAGACACGTGGAATAGTTACACAAAAATATAATAGCGGAGAGTGAGATAGTGAGTGATCGAGTATGGTTTTACGCCGCTTTTAGCAATATTCCAGCGATATCACGGCGGGGGACACCAGAAATGGGCTTCACACATTGCACCCATGTCGGGAATCGAGCCCGGGTCTTCGGCGTGACGAGCGAACGCTTTAACCACTAGGCTACCCGACCGCCCCTAATAGCGGAGACATAAAGTAGCGGAAACTATATCAGGATGAGTTAAAAAAAAGTATAAATGTGTTTTACTATTCCCTGAACTGTTATCGTGTCGAGATAAAGAGGTACGTCGATACATGCATGTAATTCCACATCGGGGTATCGAGACAGTGAGTGAGTGAGTGAGTGAGTGAGTATGGGTTTAAGCCGCTTTTAGCAATATTTCAGCAATATCACGGCGGGGGACACCAGCTATGGGCTTCACACATTGTACCCATGTCTAGATTCGAACCCGGGTCTTCAGCGTGACGGGCGAACGCTTTAACCACCAGGCCACCCGACCGCCCCAGTATCGAGACAAACCAACCATATACCTCGATAAGAAAGCTTGTATGGAATAATCGAGTCTGGACCAGATAACCCAAAGATTGACATCATGATCTTTGATCCACACAATTGGGATACGATATGAATCAACCAAGTCAGCGAGCCTGACGACCCGATCCCGTCAGTCGCCTCCTTCGACAAGCGTAGTCGCCTGTTACGCGCCTGTTGCTGAAGACCTATTCTAACCCGGATCTTCACGGGTCTATTTAGGTATGAGTAAATCTTCAAGCCTTAGGAACTTCTATAAAAATCGAAGTGTGCGGAAAGTACAACGTCTGCAGCGTCTCCCAACCCCGTCAACGTCATCCTACTTTAGGATTCCCTCAATAGTTGACAGCTCGCGGGCAAAACACTGACATTTGGAGTGGGTGCTTTGCAATAAACTGGCGTTATCTATATGATCGAATTCGCAATTCGCAGCGAAGAAGCCGTACTCCTTCACATGCAGATGTGTTGTTGGGGATGTGATGTCCTGGTCATTTAATGTCGTAGTAGGGTTGTAGATGTTGTTCGTGGCATCGATGACCTGATAAGGCATCTGACTCATGTCATGATGTATTAAATACATCGCCACGCAGTGTTGTGATTCATAAGTGTTCATTCCTAAGTTTATTGCATGATACTCGTTAGTAATAAACATTATTCAATAACATAAATATTCTTATTCGTCGTAATCGGAAGTTTCAATATTTAAGGACCAAACAATTTACTAAGTTATCGTCGGAGGAATTCAAAAAAAAGAAGAACACAAAATTTAGTTTTCACAACGAGACCAGTGAAGATCCGGGTTAGAATAGGTCTTCAGCAACCCATGCTTGCCGTAAAAGGCGACTATGCTTGTCGTAAGAAGCGACTAACAGGATCGGTTGGTCAGGCTCGCTGACTTGGTTGATGCATGTCATCGTATCCCAACTTCCAACACCGAAGTCTAAATGGCTGCCTGCAGACAAGCTTTAAGTACAGTCGGGGATACGACATGGCCCAAGCTCACACCAACAAAGCGTAAGTGACTGACTGAATGTTGTTTGATGCGGTATATCCCAACAAGACACATCAAACAAGGTACGGTTTGAAAGGATGATAACACAGAAAGCCTGCTCTGGTAGTTTAAATTTACTGATTCATACGATATTCAGAAATATTCAGTTGGCAATTACAACGCAAGGGAGTCAGTTGTGATGACCACTCATAAGGCGACTTAAACTGACAAGGTTCTAGAGGCCGCAAGCGGCATGTGGTCTCGCATGAAACCTGCGCCATACGTACACAAGTGCAGGGGGCGACCAGGTGTGGTTGAAAGTGAACACTTTGAACCAAGATCAATCAATTAACTGCTTCGCCGGGAGGGAATCAACGATGTTCGTATGAAGTTGTTACAACAAAGAGCTTTGACGTCATATATGTATCACCTATACGAATTCAATTATTCTGCCGGGGATTTCCTCGACACAACCCCCCACCCCCACCCCATAAATTTCCTGGATCCGCCTCTGATAGTGTTAATGTTTTGCAATGTAAAATATGGGAATGGCGCTTTCATAGCGATATTTTTTTGTTACTTTATTTCAACATTTCCTTAAAGTCTCAATTGAAGTAGAACGTAAACAAGGATGAACCTAACTCTCAAAACAAGTAACAAAAGAAAATATAAAGAATGACATAAGAAATAAATAAAAAATGAAAACTATAGAACAATAATAACATAGATGAAAATTAATTAAATAAAAAAGCATAAATAAGAAAAACCCCAAACAAACGAAATAATATCACCATAATAATAATTTCAAACAGTGGACGAATTTCTTGTTGTGTGGCTTTATGATCAATATATTCTTATGAGGCACTATCAGTCGCAAGAAATACGACAGGATTGATTATATTCACGCAATGACTATTTAGAAACTTATTGATCATATTACGAGGAACAATGTTCTAACGATAATGTCGTGCTTCTGAGTGCTTGTCTCGTGATTATATAATGTGCCCGTTATAAGAGAGCGGTCAATAATTTGGTAATGAATGTTTCACAATGAGTCTATATTTCCGCAAAAAACAACATGGCGGAAATCGATTGCGTTGATGACGTCATTCAAATACAGCTCAACCCTCTTAGTCTGGCACCGTTATTCCGATGTGTCTAATTATAACTAAAAATCGTTAATACGTTGTCGTACTTAATTAATTTGGAAGACATCATAGCAAACGGCATTGTCCAGATTGATAGGTGACCCGTGAAGATCCGGGGTAGAATAGGTCTTCAGCAACCCATGCTTGCCGTGAAAGGCGACTATGCTTGTAGAAAGAGGCGACTAACGGGATCGGTTGGTCAGGCTCGCTGACTTGGTTGATGCATGTCTTCGTATCCCAATTGAGTGGGAATCAATAACTGAAATGTCTGGTCAAGACTCGATTATTAATTACAGACCGCCGTCATATAATTGGAACATGACTTAGTGCTTTGTTAAACAACAAACAAAACAAACTAACAAACAAACAAACAAACAAAAAGATTGACAGGTGCTCGATTTGATTCAGGTCAGATGAGAAAATTATAGAAACATTTTTAAACCCTGACAATAAGTAATCAAATTTGTGTTTTGAAACTTATTAAATTGAAATAATTGAAAAACATTTTAAAACAGGACG